CTCTCTCTCTCTCTCTCTCTCTCTCTCTCTCTCTCTCTCTCTCTCTCGTGTTAGATAACTTGAACAAATAGTAGCACCTTTCACTGCAACACTTTACAGTTTCCATGTTGTGCAGCTGGTTCAGGAAGAGGCCGGGTCAGTGGAGGTGTGTCCTGGTTTAACCATTAACCCTGAAGACTTCCATCCAATGACGCTCATCTGCCGACCTCCTAGAAATCACTGATTTTCACTCCAGCCTCTTTGCAACATTTCACTTATTGAGCTTTCTTGTTCTCTGTTGGAAATGTTGGAAAAGATCTTTGTCCTGCTTTGTCTGTCGTCTGCTTCGGCACAGCAGCTGTGTATGCCAGGTGAGGCACCTTATAAGACGTCGTGTTCACTTTGTTTTTATCCTACCGAGATCAGTTAGAACACAGGATATTGTTGTTTCCACTCAGGTGTGGAATGCAGCTTTCTAATCTGAAACCAAATCGGATTAGACACATTGCCTCCATGTGGCATCAACAATTACTCTGAAAAATGCGTGCATTGGCTTTCTGCAACTCTGGGCGGAAATAAGACGATGTTAAGCTCTCTAACAGTGCATTCAAATATCTTCATAGAGGCCTCAGATGGCTACAAAGTCCGACTCAGCATCAATACCGCTCTGGGAGATCAAGCTGTACGTATGTAATTAAATATTCATCCGCCTGCACAAAACGATCAAAGCATCAGATCATACATAAGCTGTCTTTTACTAATTTGCATGCTGTTTTAATACTGTAACAATAATATATTATTCATAATCAACTGATCATTGATGCAACCAGCTGCTCTTATAAATAGTAATATGCTGAATATTGTCCAGGATTCACTGAGTGTGTGTGTGTGTGTGTGTGTGCTTATTATGAGGACAAGGTCCAAACTGGTGATCAATTAACCTTAAAGGACTTTTTGTTGTTTTGTTGTTGTTGTTGCAGTATGTTTGGAATGAAAACGAAATGTTCCTCTTCCGAGCAACTCTGGCGTTTGCCATGAGGAGTTACTCCGACGGCCAAGACTACAAGTAAGAAAACCTTTGTGTTTTAAAACAGGCACAATAACAGTAGAGCTATGATATCATCTCATTTTACCGTAAGGAAGTCGGTGACTCATGGTTTATGGACGTGTTATGGCACTGATGTGTGGTCTTTATTGTCTCGTCAAACTCCACCAGCGTGTCGAACATCGTTGTGTGCAGTGAGACTCCCAGAGTGTCCTTCTGGTTCGTGGTGACGTCGCCGCTCAACTCTTCACGCCTCGTCGATAGAAGCGATGTGGAGGAGGCTGTGAGGTAATCATCAACGGGACACTGCTGCTCCTCTTTTTGAATCCATGTTCAGAAATAAGATTTATTTTCTCTTTGGTCGTTCTTTTAGAGAGGTCAGAGGTCGCATTCAACTTTATGTGTCATGTTTGGGTTTGATGCAGTTCTATAGTGACATTGTCTTAATACGTGGGGATCATTGCTGTAACTGTATTACTGTGTACTGTGGGTGAAACCATTTATTGATTATACAAATTGTTTTTGTCATGGCCCTTAGAAATAGTACCAAGATGACAAATGACTAATGTGGTTCCAGATAAGCAATCAATTAAACACATCTGTGAGACTACAGCTGAGAGATAACGGTTATTATTAAAACGCAATAAAGCAGATAACATAAGCGCAATTAGATAAAGATGAGGATGTCAGTTACACAGCATTATGCTAATATTAGCTAACTTTAGCTTTCATAAACTACTGGTCATATAGACCAAGTAGGCTGTAGTAGCTGTGAACCTTTGAGTATAACTGTTAGCTAAGATAGCATGTGTTGTATTGGTGGAAATTCTACTTTTCACTTCTCATGAAGAAGAATGTGTACATGTTCGTGTTTTATTTGGCTAACATTAGCTAAAATTAGCCGCCATATAAGCTCACACCAGACCATATAAGGCTGTACACTCCTGAATATAACTTTTATCGAAGCTAGCATGTGTTGTATTGGTGTGAATATAACTTTTCATTTTTATAAAGACAAACATGTTATTATGCTAACATGCTAAAGTGTTATTTTGCTAACATCAGCTAAAACTAGCCGCCATGTAAGCTTATACCAGACCAAGCAAGACTGTAATAGCTGTAACGCTAAACTCCTGAATATAACCATTAGCTAACTGGCGTGTGATATTGGTGTTAATTTAAATGTAATTTCTTTATAAAGAACGTAATAACATTCATTTGGGACACCTCACTGCTGAAATGCAGGCTTTATATCAAATAGTCCTGCTATGATATTGCCACAGTATTGACGATTGAAGGGTTCTGAGCTATAAAGCAACAATCAGGTGAGGTCTCTGTCGGTGATTAAGAAGCTCGAATAACATCGTGGACTCTTGTGTTGAGCCAGTTTAAACTGTCTGGATGCCTCCTGGCCTCTTACCTGTGGAGGCCTCTTACCTGTGGAGGCATCTCCCCGAGTTCTGGCACAACATTTGAGTTGCACACTGTTGCATCAATTGACTTCTGCCTGACACACGTTGGCCTGAAAACAGCCAGTATTCAAATTTTAAATCGAAACTTTTTTTATTTTTCCCAATAGAAAGTCCAGGAACCGCATCAACAGTGCCTTTCTGCTAACTGATAGAACTCTGGAGTTCATCGGCATCCCCCCGATCCTGGCAGCACCGGTCAACCCCGACACCCCTCAGTGGCTCATCGTGTTCGGGGTGGTCATGGGCGCCGTGGGCGCTGGCATCGTCGTTCTACTCGTTACCTCTGTGGTCCAAAAGAAACGGTAAGCAGATGATTGTAAATGCGTTACTTATTCATCATTTTAATCTGTCTTGTGTTCTCCTTTCTTTCAGCAAAAAGAACAAGAAAAGTGATGATGAGGACGTTGAGGAAGAGACGCGGGTGAAGACGGTGGAAAATGGCGCCGCGAGAGACGGAGTTCACAACATGTCATTCTCAGACGATAACCCAGTCACACAGATGTAGAACTGTAAAAAATGTAGAACTGTAAAAAACAATTTTATTAGGCTGCTCCAGTTCTGTTGCACTTTTCAAAATCATTTTAAGGTTGTAATTTATCATACATTTGTCATTTAGATGATTTAGTATGAATATGATTTAAGTCTCATTACCTGCTGCCTTAAAAAGAAAACAAGCACTTTTAATTTTGTTTAATGTCTTTCATTTTCCAAATCTAAGCTGAGGGATGATGAAGATCTCTGCATCAGTGAACATTAATTGTACTCTACATTAAAGCAAATGTTTGTTTATCATTCAGCAAACAGAATGAGATAGAAACCAGGAGGAAACTGGGGCTCATTTGCAGCTCATTACAAACAAATATAAAATGAATTAATCTCGATATTTGAAAGCATTTTCATGACAGAATATATCTGTATCTGTATCTTTCTAATCAGCAACCATTGCTGGTTCTGTACTATATGTTAACCTGCACTTGACCGATGTTGATGTGATCAAATCAAAGCGAGGGCCCGGCGGTGATGCTGGATGTCTGCTATTGTCTTGTTTGCTGCCGTTCTCCAGAAGGACAGAAGGAAACCGCCTAAAGTCACGAGCAGCTGCAGTGTTGTAGCATCGTCCCCAAATGAAAGGAAATGATCTTTATGGCTGGATATATCCGTATGACTTGTATATTGAGCAGAGATTTGTGTAATCAGTGGTTGATTCTTTTCAATGATCAAGATGCAGGTTGGATTTTGTGTTTTTTCTCATTTGTATATAAAGTGTTTGTGGAGGCCTGAAGAGGTTTTAACATTTCCTGTCTGACAATTAGGTAACAAAGTTTTGTGCAGCAGTAATTTCCTGACATGTTATTAGCTCTTCAGAAGAGATCATTACGGACTGTACAGGAATGATTGGGGCAACAAACCTCCCCCCATAATATACAAAAAATGAATATGATGCTATTAAACTGGTGCAACTCATTTTGACATTAATAAATAAGAATGCACAAAGAATTGGAAATGGTGAAGTTAGTAATTGCAAAAAATGATGGAAAACATAACAAAATGATGCTCTGTGATTACCGGATACCCAGAGCTCTCGCTTTATACGACACATTTCACAAAACTTTACTGTCAAATATTACGCTCTTTGGAGATATAACATTCAATCCAGGTGGCAACCTCCGGTTCTGACAAGTGAAGCTAATGTTTCATGCGTCAAAGCTGCATTCTCTCTAGTGTCCACCAGGGGGCGACTCCTCTG